GGTGGAGGAGACCTACAGTGTATTAGGCATTCCCTAAGACCGCTTTGTTTTCCGCCTCGCGTCTTCCATAAATTTTACTGGTCGGAAGATCGAACTTTGTTTTTCAGGATTACTTATGAAAAAAACAGACTCACCGTATACTGGCTAACTGCTCATTCCAAGAGGTTATTTTAAACTGAATGAACAAAGATTTGACTAGGTTGAACTGATGATAACCTGCATGAATGGACAGCTTGATATTTAGTGCCTATCTACAGTCCCCAAATGAGAAGCCATCACATCCGCAGTCTGGCATTTGGTTAGTGCCCATCTGTGCATGGCGGGCGTTTACTTTTGGATGAAGGCTTACGCCACCTTGTGCGACCACTCGGCCTGCGTCTCCTTGTCCCAGTTGTGCTTCTACTTGGTGACGAGGTTTCCAACTCTTCTACTGTCAAAAAGGTTAGACATTTTTCACCCTTCCTCTGCCTCTATTTGATCGGAATCAATACTGCTTTGCAGTGGTAATGCCTCACATCTCTCAAAGGGTATCTGGAAGTAGAAACTGTCAAAATTACACTTGAGTTAGGACAAAAACTCCCGTTGGTCAAAGTCGAAGTTAAACAGGCGCTTCCCAGTCGGCGAAAGGTCAGGTCGCACTGGCCCCGTAGCCGAGTGGACATCACCGATGCCCATGAAGAGGCAAACACCGACCCTTGATTGAATTTTGGTAGTCTATAAAGCCCCCCTCCCCGTCTTCCACTGTCCAGTCTTCTCGGCCCAAGGGTCTAAAATCTCAATTGAATGGAAGTACGAGGAGCTATTTACCTATCCTACCATTACAAGCCCTCCCTTTTCGCCACTCCTCTGGCCGGGCTTCTCCAGCCAGCGCTTCTACCCGTTGAGAGGTGAGGGTTATGCACTTCGTGTTAGGTCTAATGCTGCGCCTGATAGGCGAGTCGTTAAGTAGAGTGTGGCTTTTTTATCATCGGAAGCAATATTTCTTCACCTCTTGTTAAGATGACAAAATAAAAGGCATCGTTTAATAGTCGCCTAGCAGCTAAAAGTAGTTGTTTTTATTACTTCCACTGAGCTCAACTTGGCTAAAATCTAATACAAATGTCCAACCAACTGCCACGTCAATTTTTAGTCGTAAGGCGAAGAACGACGCCCATATGTCACAGTCTAGCCCAATTAAGGGAGGAGGAAAAAAACAGTCTACTTCAAAGTTATTACCTCCTCCTCTGCATGCCCCTGCCCATGCGCCAGAGCCGGTAAGTCTACAGCTGCATATAAATAATTTAACTGGGCGAACTCAGAAGCAACGGTGTTTGTAGGGCAGAATAACTCCGACCGATTCCTCATTTTTATCCGGAACAAGTAGTTTACAGTTTTTTCTTTTGTGATTTGAAAATAAATGTCATTCCTAGGGGTAGGTAAAAACAGTAGACTCAAAAACTTCTCTGTAGTGCCCAAAGGTTTCTCCGAAGGCTGATGAAATATGACACTGGGACAGAAAATGTTTTGCCCTGTACAGAAGGGCTGGGTGGCTACTGGCATGGCCAGGAGGCCAGGCCGCCAGACAAAGTTACGATTGCGGAGAATTAAACAAACAATCAAAGTATTGCACGGTCCCGCCCTCCTCTTTTGAGCGTCGTCTCCGCCGCCCCACTTAATCAACCTCTCGAGTGGGCAATCGCAAAATAGTCGGTGCTGTAGGGCAAAACATCCACAAATCAACCGAATCACCAAATTGACGTGCGATTGAAGAGATACTTGACCTTAACGGTAATACTTTCCTGTAGAACACGGGATTGAGGTAACTGCCGAAGGTAGACGTAGTTTTCAGCCTTGCTCTTAGAGGTCGTCAGATTCTCCTCATCCGTAACATATGTGCTTCTTCCGCCCCTTTAAGGTTTACCACTGAGAGGTAGAAATTAGGATATTTGCTCTATGGGATCAAGTTTGCTTTCCGCTGCTACCAAAGTATCACCCCTAGACTCCCCTGAAGTAAAAATAAGTTATAATACTAGGGTAGAAAGTGGATTGTCGACGTATAGAAGGGCTGAATGGCTACCAGCATGGGCCAATGGCCAACAGGTAAATGGATTATTATTTTTAATTGCAACCTCTAACTGCGATTACCGTTTGTGGGCTAAGTGGGACGTTCTTTCTCCCTTTTACCTACTTACTCGTATCGGTTGAACTTAAAAGAGCAAATGCCTATTAAAAATTTGAATTCATGCGTAATTTCTTCAAGAATTCATTAAATGTATGCCAAACGGTCTAGTGATGACAATTCTGTCATCCAGGGCCATTTTCTTTTGTGTAGGTCTACCGAGCCGTCTGCCTAACTGACTGCTTAGGCAGCGAATTTTATCAAGTAGGAATAGAATTTATTTAAGCAGATATTAAGATTGATTTACACTTCCGTCAATTAAAGCAGTAAAGTGCTCCTGACGAATCCCACTGAGAACGCGTCGTAGAGGCCTTTTTAATTGATCCAATGGGATCGACGCTATTTTCGGAAGAATACAAAGATAGCCGCACATATGGCATGATCTAAGTGAGCCGATTAACTAAATAACTCAATGTTCTTCTAGGTGGTAGATGTGTAAGTTCCCTAATCTTTAAATACAGCTCATCAATTTCCTCCTAACCCGTACATGATCGTTTTCAGTGGATCAAAACTGACAGGCTGCATGGAGTTGGGCTCCGAAAGCTCGTTGTCCTGTATAAAAATGGGGATTAAGTAAACATATTTTTTATTTTACTTTGCTTGGATACAGTGCAAACCAAAGAAAGCATTTCATTAAATTGGTCGAGAAAATAAATCGGAAATGCAGTAAAATAAGTAAAAATTAAGGAATTAGAAAGTGGTTATAAATTAAAATCATGTAAATTTTGAACAAATGAGTAAATGATTTTGCAATCAAATAGCGTTAATAATAGCTGCCACGGAAAATTTCCGGTTTTGTTGCCATCGCAACAGGTTATACCTTCTTTTGGCGTAGCTTTCAATATTTTGCGTCGTAATATAATTTGGCCCTTCGCACCACAGTATAGTCCTCAGTTTACTCATAGGCCCTTCCTAGATGCAAAACCTTGGCGAAAATGATAGTTTTATTGTCTCTTTTGATGCGATACTTAGCCACATCATCATCCACAAGAGCCTTGAGGTGAATCACCGATCCCTACTTTCACATGACATACAAGTACCCCAAGTGAACTCAAACGGGTATTCCTTTACAAACGATTTGGTTGTGGGGCGGGAGAAAATATTTGCCCTATTAGTGACTCTCAGATGGCTAAGTGGGCTTCAGGTTCACTGCGACAAGAAAACAAATGGATTTGACTTAGGTCATGCATTTGAAATATTTTTTAAAATGCCCCTAGCACTTTTAAGTAGCTGTATTTATAAAGGAGCTTATAAAGATTAGTGCTGATCTCGTTGTTACGCATTTTGATATTCTCCCTTGGCATTTCTATGGAGTATGCGTTTTGAAAATCAACTGTTTTGCGTAATTAGTGAGCAATGGCCTGTTAAACAGTCCTTTTTTGCTAAATTTTGCACTTTAGCTTCATCTAATTTTGTCTGAAAAAGTGACTTTAAAATCCCTTTTTGAATTAAACGAGGTCTTTTGCAGAGTCCTCACTGATTTAATCAGGGCAATTCCTAAAATAGCCTAGAATTAAGAAAATGGGGAAAATCATGTAGTTTGAAAAGAACAAACTGAGCAGTTCATGTAAATTTTTTATATATCTGCCGCAAATAAAAACAATGCTCTGATTAGCCCATCAACTGAGAGATCACTTAGGTGCCCTTTGATGGTGATGAAGCTGCTTGAAGTGCTCTTGGGGCAAAGCTATTTAGCAAACAGAAACGAAGCTATTGGTGTTCTCCTGAGGACATATGGGTAAATAAAGTAAGGAGCTATCTGTGAGTTCTTTTGCCATGATTTATGGTGACCCTTTACCCAGAAAAAACAAAGTATTCCTTTGCTATGCAAAATTGGAGTCCTTGCGCTGCCGACGCCGTAAATTAGGAAATGAAGAGAATTTGCAAAGGAACGGCATGCAGGTGAATGACATACCTTCTGTTTTACCTTAATTGCTATTTTTGGGAATATTAGGAGTTACAGTCACTGTTAGGCGAAGACCATACGCTGTTTATAAATTAAAAGAAGAAAAATCGAACCGAAAATTTACTTTCCATGGGGGACACATTGGACTCCTCCCTTTCAGGCTTTGTTTTTTGGAAGGAGAATCCCCTTATTTAAAAGTAGATTCCAGAAGCCTGTCGGAGTTTGGCATCAGATTTTCGAAATGAGCCAGATTTAGTCGTGAAACATGAGCACCAGACTTTCCGAATGATCATTTTATGTCGACCTGCAATATTTGGCCAGAAATGCATCCAAATGCTAGGACGAATAAAAACTCCTAGTTGTTCAGTAATTTACCATGCTCGTGGCAATTACATAATCAATTTTAAGGAGTTTAGCTACTTTACCTTTTTGCAGAGTTCTCAGTTGTTACTTTCGTATTTGTACTTATTTTAGCGTTTGATTTCTACCTGCAATGCGGACTCGGCGTTGACTGACCCATCAGAATGGCTGAGCTATTGTTGGGCAGCCTTCAGAATGTCTTCTCTCACTTAACTTCCC